CGCCAGGACCGGCACCGCCGCCTTCCCGCCCCTGCGAACCCTAGACAGTCCACGCGCCGCCGGGCACAGGTGGGAAGGGGCAGTGGGGTACCACTGCGCCTGCGCGGAACCCAGCGCTCGCTCCGCCCCACGCACCGGCTCTGAGGAGGGTCTCTCCCCGCCCCCTCCCCTCCCCTCCTGCTTCTATGTTCTCACCTGGGGCCGAGCCTGGTAGGCACGGAGGCAGGGGCCGAGACGCCGGGCCGCCCCCCGGCTGGGCTGATACATGATCTTCCGGGAGTGAAGAGAGAGCCTCCCGAGTCCAGCCTCCGGCCTCCTCACGGGGTGAGCGCGCCCCGGAGCCGGCTTCGTGAAGGGGAAAGGAGGGGGGGGCAAGGAGCTGAGGGAGGGAAACGGAGATGTTGCGCGCGTGCGCAGGGCGTGCTCCAGGGAGGCTGCTGAGGCGCTCGATCGGCCGTAAGTGCGCCTGCGCTCGCCGGCTCGGCGGCTGCCTGAGTGCGCTTGCGCAATAAATTGCGCGCCCCCCCCTCCCCCCCGCACTGGTATCTGAAGCATTCACGCAAAAAGTTGATCTGGGTGCAGCGAGAGTGAGGGGTAGGTAGGATTTGAAATAATAACAGTCAAGATTTTCAGTAGTTCTCGTGATAAAAAATACTTTTATTGCTGTGGTTAAAAGATACAAATAATTTTTAGCTGATAAGAAAGCCTGTGAAATGAATGAATCCATCTGTTATGAGCGCTGGGCTTTGGTCAACCAATGTGAGGGAGAAATAATACTGACTTTACAGGTGTGAAGGGGGCTGCAGTCACCAAGGCCTGGTACTGCGACGTTCCTGCAGGTTTCGAATGAACCTGGCGTTGAACACGTCCCCACCCACTGTCCAGGACTGGGCTGGTGGGGCCTGGGGCTGTGGAGGAACTGTGTGCGTGGGCTCCTCCCCAGACCCATCTTGGGACAAGACCTGCTCCTCACTGGCAAACCTGGTAGGTGGGGAGACGGTGACCGGGTTATATGAGCACTAAAATGGGAATTAAGGTTACAGACTCTTCAAGGTATTAAGAGCCAAATTTTAATATAGAGGAAGACACAGGATGGGAATGAGGCTGGAATCGTTAGTGCTATGTCCAAATTTAAAACCCCTCAGAGAATGCCAAAGGAAAGTACCAGAATTGAACCTATGGGGAAAGAGGCCTGCAAAATGTTAGGTAGAAGGATTTTTGGGAAGAGCTGGTATCCAATTCACAGAGTAAGATTTAGGGGGAAGTGGCTGAGAGTGATATTAGGAAAGTCAAAAGGCGGTGGGAGGCTGTTAGGGGAGGAGCTTAGACCTCACCTATTTTCTGTTTTCTGTTCCCTCTGCTTGGAGCCTTGGTTGCCTGTGGAAATACCAGGCAAGTGCATGGGAAGGCTGGAGTAGATAGTGAAAGTGGCCTCTTGAAGGTAAAGAGGAATGGATACTTACCTGTATTGGGGAAAGAGGAATTCAATCCCCCGTATCGGCTGTAACAGCAGCTTTGGGCTACCAGCCCTGGGGGAATCCCCCTGTAGAAGAAATGGTCAAGATGATGGGGAAGAGGCTACAGGATGGGTGGGTATGGAGGAATCAGAGGAGAGGAATAAAAGGAATAGCACAGGAACAAAGAGAAAGGGGTAACTATCTTTCCTAAGGGGTTCTAATCTAAGCTGTGCCCAGAAAAGGAGGGGAGCTCATTTTATACCCCAAATGTTCTGAAGCAGCCCTGGTTTGTTTTTTTATTCTTTGTAGTTGAGGTAATGTGTTAAGTATATGGCTAACTGTGATCCAAATCATAAGAACAGACTCACATATAGGCAAAAAAGAATTTGTTGGATGAGATGCCCTGGTGTTTGGTTTGGAAAACATGGTTACCTTAGGTGCAAGATTCCTCCTAACAAAGGAAAATAGGAAGTGACAAGGCCAAATTTAGGAGGAAAAGGAAGGAGAGCTTTGAAATAGGGTGACAGACTGTGTTGGACTCTCGATAGAGGTAAGAGCTTGTCTTGAGATAGATCCAAGGGCTTAGCGGGGCAGATATCAGAAAATCACAGGTGGGAAGAAGAATCCAAGAGTTGGGAAGTAATTAGTGGATCTAGAGACATTGGTAAATCTTGACATCTTACCAGGAGCTGGCGCAGGGTAGAAGTCACTGGAGAGAACAGGAAGGAATGGACAGGGGTAGATCTAGCAACTACATGAGAGAATCTACAGAACCAGCAATGAAGACAGGGATAGGTAGACACCAGATCCTGGATGGGGAGCTCTTGAGGCTCCTAGATAAACTATCTGCAGATCTATCTGCAGATCTCAGAAGTGAAGAGGATGAGATGGACAGAGGTCCTGAGACCCCAGGAAAATAAGGGGTGACGCACAAATGAGGCTGACACCTTGGTGGTTTTTTTGGTGTGGTTCTTTTTTTTTTTTTCATTGAAAATGTCAATTTAGAAAACACAAAAGAATTCACACTTTATTCAGACAACATAGAGGGAGAAAAAAAGGGAACAGTGAGTGGGGAAGAGGGGGAGATCCGGCTCCCAAGGATTTCAGGGAATACAATGGGGGTACCTGATCTACCACACATTCAGGGGGAAGGGAGGGGGAAGGATCTAGCTATATTCTGGGCATGGAGCAGGGAAGGAGGTTCTTGCTATGGAGGAAAGACGTGAGGAAGGTCAGAGGAAGAATGGTCTCTTATCTCATCTCAAGACAATCTCACAAGACAGGAATATATCAGCATTTAGCTACCAGGGAGGGATGGATGTGAAGGGATTCCAGGATCTAATAGATCCTTGAGACCCAGGCTTATCTTTTGAAACACAGCTAAGGGTGAACCCAGGGTGCTTGCTGGAATCTACTGCCAAGAAGAAAAAAAAACTCCCTCAGAGAATCTGGATCTGGGGGAGGTAGTCATATCAGCCAGTCTCCTTCAGAGACCCCAAAGCAACATCAGTTTGGGGGTTCCCTGACACATACACAAAACACATGGAAATTAAGAGTTTGGCAATGGCAAGTGGATCCCTTTGGGCAGCTGTTAAGTCCCTGTCCCACCTAACTGGACTGCTCTGAAGCAGAGCTTACTCATTAGCTGGCATTAGCAACACATTCAAAGGACAAGTGTGGCAGGCAGCACAAAGCCGTACTAGAACTACCAGTAGTCACTGTAGAGGAAATATGGGGTTTATTCCATGGATAAGTCTCCTTAAAAAGTTTCCTTAGCAGAGGAGACCCTTGGACTTTTCATGGTGTTCTAGAATTTAACAGCAAGCATGAGTGTGCTTCTCTAGAGAAATAGTATAAGCTACCCAACCATGGGGTCTGGCAACAGATCACACTATCTGTGGGGAGAGTATTCAGAGCCGAAGTTAGGAGAGAAGGGATAGTTTCTGTGGTAAGAAAAGCTACAAAGTATTAGGCCATTTGGGACCCTGACAACCCAGTTGTCTAAGAAAGGAAAAGGGAATCCTATGGGCTCTGTCAGATTCCACTGGGTCTTAGAGAATGCAATGGAAGGGTCTGAGATTCTCAGGGAGGGGGGGTCTCTGTCCACCCCAGGTCTCTCAGGAAAGGGGGAGGGTAGCTGTCAGTATCGACTCTCATCAGAACGGGGAAGGGAGCTGTGGAAGGATATTATGGATGGAAGGAAGGGAGAGGGAAAATGGGGGAGAGAGAAAAACAGAAGTCAGAGGTGAAGAGAAAGTTAGGGAGAGAAATAGAGGAGATGCCCACTTCTTGCTTGCTGGGATGAGCTCTTGGTACACAAGCCAGTAGCTCCCCAATCTATCAGAGACACTGGCCTTCCCCAGCAAGTGTTAGGCCAAACGTCCCCAAACTGAGAAGGCTCAGTTTCCCCCACCCAATGGATCTTTGTGTTCTTGCTATACTTCCATGCAACTCTCACATTAAAACTAGAGTCCTAGGTGCTATATAAAGTCTTGTTCTGTTTCTTCACTGTGATTTTTTTTTTCTAGATCACTTCCACAAATATTTTTCTTGAATGGGTTTGAGGACTCCCCAATCCACCTATCTTGTTCCACATTTTTAATGGATTCCAATTGCCCTTTGCCATTTCTAACATGCTCTTTGATAGTCCTGAGGTTCCCTAACCCTCCAATTCCTATTACCTGGTGCGGCGACGTTGGGCTGGGCTGCCCCCAGGGTCAGCAGCCAGCAGAAGGCGGGCGGTAGGGTGTGGGGGGCAAAGGCGCAGGGAACGCAACAGCTCCTGCTCTGGCACAAAGGGGCGGAGGGGACCCCGTTCTGGCGAGTTTCCTAGGCTGCTGGAGCGGGGGGGTGGGTG